GCCTCGTTGACACGCAAAACTAACAAACCAGCCAACACACGAAAAAGGGCACTTTACGCGACGGCACAATTACAATGATTTCCAGACAATCAATCGGGAGACGCTCTCGAACAAGGGATGCGCGGTTCGAATCCTAGACCGTATATCTTCTCGGCGTGCGCGTGCAAAATTCCGCATCACCCCAGCAAGTTAAATATTGCAAAATTCACTTCAACGCAATCACTATATAATTTGCACAATTACTTTCAAAGAAGTGACTTTAATCAGTCGAACACAATAAGAGCCTCTTGTCAAGAACTTAAATCCTAGACAACCTAATCCGAGGCGGTTTTCACGAAACACAATTCCGTCCGTTGCGAAGTAACACGCACTAAATCTAACCATCTGGACCCTACACCGGTCGCGTGAACTTCGGCAGCGATAACCAAGATACGCGGATTAGCCGCATCGTAGCCAGCGAGCTACTACCTTTTGCACTCGCGTTCTATGCCCACGCCCTCTGCCGAGCGACGCACACGGGAGTGGGGCAAGGGTGACCTTTACAAAGTCAGCGGGCGGACACGAATGGAATGCAAATTTCAAATGTTAATTGTTTGGCCTAAACAATTTTTATACCTTCTTTTTTAATGTGGTTTAAATAATATTTTTATGATTGATAACACATAGAAATGAATCGAAAATAGTATGTCAAAGCTCAAATCAAAAGTGTGATAATTTCTCAGTAAAGTGTACCACAAAAATGCATAGATTGTGGGATAGTGACGAACGTCAGTCTGAGCGAGATTAGAATGACTCTCCAGCATCTTAAAATCCCTTCAACAGTGCCAAGTTGCCTGTCGGTAAATCCAATAGCTGAAGTGTTACAGTAGGGCTGCGATGGCTATCCAAGTACAGAACCAGAGTATGAAACCTATCCAACTGCAGAGAGGAGTAAGACAGGGTGACGCTATATCCCCAAAATTCTTCACCGCTGCATTGGAAGATGTTTTCAAGCTACTGAACTGGAAAGGATAGCATATTAACGTCAATGGCGAGTACATCACTCACCTTTGATTTGAAGACGATATAGTCCTTATGGCAGAATCAATGGAGGACCTAAGCACTATGCTCAATGACCTCAATTGTGTCTCCCTACGGATAACTCTTAAGATGAACATGGACAAAACAAAGATCATGTATAACGTCCAGTTCACACCTATGGGAGTACCTATTGGGAGCACCAGTTGTTGTTGGGAGCACTAAGCTCGAAGTTGTTGATGAGTATGTTACCTGGGACAAATAGTCCGACTAGGTAAGTCCAACTTCGACATTACAACACATCTTCTCGTCAGGTATATCTCTCAATCTGAAAACGATATTGTATAACCAGTGCGTGTTGATAGTGATGACTTATGGATCTGAGACGTGGTCCTTCGCTGCTGGCCATATGAAGACGCTCAAGGTCGCTCAGTGAGCTATAGAGAGGGCTATGCTCAGGATTTCTCTGCGTGATAAACTTAGAAATGAGGATATCTGCAGTAGAACCAGAGACACCGAAATAGCCCAATGGATTAGTAAGCTGAAGTTTCATTAGATGGAGTGACGACCTGGTAAGACATGCAGGAAGTTGATGGATGCAGGTGGCTTTGGACCGTGCGAGGTCCGAGGTACGAGGTTGCCTCGCGTGCACCTTTCTTTCCTATTGGTGGTTTCTTCAGTTCTTCCAGCTACATGGCCGGCTGCTGCGGATATCCTGATTTTTAGTCTATCCGGCAAATCTGTATCAAAAATATTGCACTTAGACTTATTATTTCATATTTAAATAATAGAACTCAAAAAGTCATCAAGGATAAAGGTTCCTCCGGATCAGTAGTATCAACGGGTGTTCCTCAGGTGTCGATTCTTGGCCCATTCCTGTTAGTATATATCAATGACTTACCTTATCTTGTAGGGGACAATCACGATATAGTATTATTTGCTGGTGATACCTCTTTAATTTTCAAACTCAAACGACAGTAAATTAATTTTGATAATGTAAATAATGCTCTATCGAAATTAGTACATTTGGTTTAACTCCTACAATTTACTCTTAATCAGCAAAAAGACAAAAAGTATTAAATTTGCAATACATAATGTTAAACATTCTAATACCAGTGTTGTCTTAAACGGGGAGGAGTTGAGTCTTGTGAATACCACTGTTTTTCTTAGTATTACTACTGACGCGAAGCTTCAATGGGGCCTCCATATGTCTAAATTAGCAATCAGACTTAGTTCTGCATCATATGCTGTAAGAAACATTAGAAGTCTCACCAATGTTGAGACAGCTAGAATAGTTTATTGTAGTTACTTTTATAGCGTGATGTATTATGGAATTTTGCTATGGGGTGACACGATTGACATCGAAGCTATATTTGTTTTGCAAAAGAGAACCGTACGGGCAATTTATAAATTAAATTGCAACGAGTCTCTTAGATAAAATAAATGAAGAAAAAATTTTTAATAAATACAAAAAAATTTAAAATGTAATGTATGTTCATAAAAACACAAATAGCTTTGATAAGAATAAAGATGTTCATATTTTTAATACTAGGAACAAACATAAGCTTGTAATAGCAGTTACTAGACTCCAAAGAATTAGTAATTAATTTATGGGGCAATGTATACACTTTTACCCTAGATCAATGAGTTTAAAAATTTTATTAAAGAAAAATTGTACTAAAGGGTTATTATAATATCAAAAAATACATAAATGAAAACATCCCCTGGGATTGAGGTGATCACCACCATGCTGGTTCTATTAAAATTTAAAATTTGTACAAACAAAAAAATAAAATTATTGTGAAGTGAAATATGTTTAAAAAAGTCCCGCTGGGTTTATTGCTGGTTCTTCCCAGAACAGAGGTATTTTCCGAACCTTATAAAAATGACTTTCAATAAGTATTATGTAATAATCTATATTGAATAAAAATTATTCTATTTTTTTCTATTCTATTCTATAAAAAACCCTGCATTCTGAGAATACCTTCCTCATATGGCCAGCAATGAAGGACCACGTCTCAGAACCATAAGTCATCACTGGCAACACGCACTGTTTGTTTTCAGGTTTTGTATACCTAACTGACAAGACGATGTGTCATTATCTCCCGAACGCTGCCCAGCGGAGTTGAATCCGTCGATTGACCTTTCGGTTTAAGTTGGTCTTACCTAGTCAGACCATTTGTCCTAGGTAAACCTACTCGTCAGGTAGGCACTATAACTTGAAGCGTAGCATGGATGTTAATGGACGTTACACGTGACCTTTTTTTTGTCAATGTTTATCTTAAAACCTATTCATTGAAACACAATATAACACTATATAACAATAGCACTCTGGCGTAAAGCCTCTGTCATTTATCTTCCAAAATTATCTTATTGCTCATTTCAGACTAATTTCTATCCTGTTATGTTTATCTAAAGTTTTAGAAGTTGTTGCTTATAAGTAAATTTCTACTTTTATTTTCAAAAACAAGATTCTTTCTTCATATCAGTCTGGATTTTCCTCTGGGCATCGCACTACAACCGCCCTTGAGAAGGGCGGTTGTAGTGCAGGTCACTGAAAATATTCGAGAGGGTATGGAAAATTCCAAATTAGCAGTTCTTATTTTAATAGATTTTTCTAACGCTTTTAATACTGTTGACCACTCTAGCTTGCTAGTTCTACTCTCTCACTTGAATATCTCGTCTTCAGCCCAGGATTGGTTCTCATCATATCTTCGAGGGTGCCAACAGGCCGTGCGTTCTAGCCATAATGTCTCCAATTAGAGTGATGTATTAGCCGGTGTCCCACAAGGCGGTATTCTCTCACATGTTCTGTATTCTTGTTTTTTTCGATCTTGTCACATTAAACCTCAAGTGCTCTTATCATCTGTATGCCGATAATCTACAACTATATGCGCAAGCGGAGCCATCCAATATTAATAATTCAATAGCGTTAATAAACGAAGATTTACATTATATCTTTGAATGGTCCACTGTGTTTGAAATTAACGTGAATCCTTCTAAGACTTAACCGATCATTTTTGGTAGCTCTAAATACTTATCCAAATTAGGTATCTCCACTTTGCCGTTTATTTCGTACAACAACAATGCTATCTCATACTCTCCACATGTTAAGAATCTTGGTTTGTACGCTGATAGCTGTCTTTCATGGAACACGCAGATCCGGCAGGTAAGCCGCAAAGTTACTGCAACATTGCAATCTCTTTATCGCCGGAAAAATTTTTCAACGCTTTTTCCTAAACAATGATTCTATCGTCACATATTTTCCTTATTTATAATGGCTTAGATACATGTGTTTATATATGTATATAGTATAATGTATATATTTAAAGTATTTAGGTAGATTAATGTATGTGTACGTCTGTATTAATATATTTACATTTTATAATATATGTATAGAATATCTTCTAAATAAAAAGCAATATATATATATATATATATATATATATATATATATATATATATATATATATATATATATATATGTATATATTCTAGTTTATTCGAACTTCGTTACCTTTTTTTCTCATTATTAGTTTACTTTTGCTGCACTACCTCTCACACGTTTATCTCTGCTTAGCCTAATGGTTGACTGTGAGAGAATGCCTTAAGGCATTAATTCCACCATATGTACGATTTTTCTTTTGTGTATAAAAGTTTAAATAAATAAATATTGAAGTAATTGAGCATAGTGTTTAGGTCCTCCAGCCATTCTGCCATAAGGACCATAGCTTCGGCAAATCGAAGGTGAGTGATGTACTCGCCATTGTTGTTTATACCGTACCCTTTCCAGTCCAGTAGTCTTCTAATGCGTCGGTAAAGGGTTTCGGGGATATAAAAAGTAATTTAATATGAATGGTTATTATTAATGATTATTTGATTATTAAGATGAATGAGCACCCAGGAGTGGAACGTGTATATGTATATATCCTACGTTTTTTATGTACAAGAACAACAGCAAAAATAAAGATTGCACTCAGTACCTTCATTATCCCTAATAGAATCTTGTTTGATCTTCCGCAGAGCGTCCAGCAGGTCTTTGTTGCCAATTGAACTTTTTTCATATCCGCCGCGTTGAGCAACTACTTCGTGATATATTTTTCTAAAGTAATCTGTTGTAGCCTTCGGGAATAACGAAAATCTAGGACAAAAAAAGAGTCCTTTTGTTCAATTAGGTCCGAAGGAAACCGTTAGAGAAAATTTTAAAGAAATAAATATATTAACTTTGGCCTCTCAATATAATTACGAGAACTTATTATATGTACACAAAAACAAAAATAGTTTTATTAAAAATAGTGATGTATATTCTGTACATACTAGGAACAAACACAAATTAGTTAAACCAGTTACTCGACTCCAAAGGGTCAGTAATTCCTTCATGGAGCAAAGTATATGACAAAAATATGCAGACCTTTTCTATCAAAAGGTTTAAATTATTTATTAAGCAAACATTGTCTAGTAAGGGTTATTATACTACTAAAGAGTACATGACTGATAATAACCCCTGGGAATGAGGTGATCGCTACCATGCTGTTTCTAAATGTTTTCATAATAATTGTATTAAATATGATATTGTAAATTGTGGTTTTTAAAAAAAAAAGTCACGCTGGGTTTCTTGCTGGTTCTTCCCAGGACAGAGGTTCTTTTTTGCGAACCAGTGGTAAAAGTAAAAAAAAAACGACTTTCATTATGTATTATGTACTATAATCTATATTGTATAAAAATTATTCTATTCTATCCAATGTTTATAGTGTAGCTGTTTTATCTTGAGGGAAAGATCTCTCTTTCTCTCGAAAGAGTTAGCTCAGGGCTAAGGCGGGTGGCTGGCGTCTGGCGACGCTGGCGCACGAAACGTCGTTTTTTTCTTTGTTAATGGACTCGTATATTGTAATTGTGCCAGTATCAAGTAAAAGGACAGTTAACATATATAAATTGCACATGGACAAACATCCAGCATCGGGACAGCTATTTGTAGACCATAGAAATACTTGTTATTTTTATAGGATAAGGGTGACAAACCAGCACACAGTCCACCTGATGGTAAGTGGTTGCTGTGGCTCATAGACATCTACATCTATCTTCGATAACGAATCAAAATGCAGATGCGTTGTCACCCGTGAGGCCTAAGATGGAATGCCTCGTTTCCAGTTAAAAGGGTCTCTAAACTCACCATACGAAACACAGCAGCGTTAACATGCTATTTTACGCTGGTATTCTGTGAGAGTGTGATCCTTCCCCGGTCGAGCCGACCCATTCGTGCTACAACTATAACATAGCTGCAGCATGGCTCTACCACGTTTAAAATCATGTTGAGCCACTGCGGCACGGAGCTCTCAATATTGCGATCGTCAAAAAATATACACGCAAATAATAAACGCTACCCTCGTATTTTCTCTTGTATCTTAGAGATAGTTTACTCACATGAATTGCACATGGACGAACATCCAGAACCGGAACAATTATTTGTAGGTCATTATCACGAGGTACCACGCTGCAGCTATATTGTGATTGTAGCACGAATGATTTGGCTCAACCGGGGAAGGAGCATGCTGTCAATGTGCTGCTGTGCTGTGAGAACCGGAAATCCACTTTACTGGAAATGAGGCATTCCATCTTAGTCCTAAGGGATGACAACGCGTCTGCATTTTTATTCTTAATCGAGGATAGTTATAGATGTATGCTTCACAACATCCACTAACCATCAAGGACTGTATGCTCGTTTGTTACCTTATTATAACAAATACCTACTTAATAAAATTTTAACCCATTATTAATTAATAATGATCATGTTCTATATTGTTTATCGACCGACTTCAAAATAGGAGGGGATTCTCAATTCGACTGTATTTTTTTTATTTGAAAGCTGGTGCTTCTAATGTGGTCCGATATAAGTTTCATCAAGATCTGATCAGTAGTTTTTGAGTTATCCTTAATAATGCGTATTTAATTGACTTCGAATACATTGATGATGTTCTCGTTTTATTTATATTGAATTCGGTTGTACAATTCTTTTTATTTTATCACTTGTAATAACTAGTAAAGAACGAACCTGAAAATATCCACTAATTCGGGGAAGAAGAAAATACTGGACCAGCACAGCCCTCTATAGAAACTAAAATGCATGAAGTCCTTGGTGATTGCCCGAAGCGCGCCTCCGCCGGTTATTGTTGCGTCACTGGACACACCAAGAGACGCCGTTCCAACGACGTCAGTAGTGTAGTCAGTAAAGATTATCTATCACATGAAAAAAGGGTTATGTGTTAGAGTTTTAAATTTTAAACACCAGAAACACAGGCAAATAGCTCATGGGTTCTTCCGAAATTATACATATTTTTGGATACAATATCCGCAATGAAACCAGGATAACAAATATTAACCAACGAATCAGTAAACTGAAGATCCAATCGGCCGGTCAGCAAATTAATGTGAGAAATGGTTCAGAGCAGCACAGTTGATTTACTTTCCCTTTCTTACGACACAATTCCTTGCAATACTTACTTTAATGTTTGCTCGACCATCTTTCTCCATATCCGCTTTAATACGCTGAACAAGTTCATTACTCTTCTCAGATACGAATCCATACATATTTCTGAGTTTTGACGACGTGAAGACTGGAGTTAAACGTCTTCTTATTGAAGACCACAGTGGATCCTGTATGCAAAGACGATTCATAAGTTGCATGTAAACTTAATATAGTAGTGGTTCTTCGGAATTTTTATCACGTTTTTATTATCTCGCTTTATTGTAAATCTGTTCCAGCAGTGAGAGTCCACGTCTCAGTTCCATATGTCATCACTGGCAACACGTACTGGTTGTACATTATTGTTTTCAAGTTTTGAGGTATACCTGACGAGAAGATATGCCGCAATTTCTCGAAAGCTGCCCAGCCGAGTTAAATCCGTCTATTGACCTCTCGGTCGAAGTTGGACTTATCTAGTCGGACTATTTGCAACTAGTGTTCCCAACAACTACCTGCATAGGTGTGACATGGACTTTACACATGATCTTTGTTTTGTCCATATTTATCTTAAGACATATCCGTTGGGAGACACTATTGAGGTCATTGAGCATAGTGTTTAGGCCCTATAGCGATTCTGCCATACGGACTATATAAGATGAGAGATGTACTAGCCATTGATGTTAGTTATTAATTGATATTAATACCGTATCCTTTCCAGTCCTGTAGCTTGAAAACGTTTTCCAATGCAGCGGTGAAGAGTTTTGGGAATATATCATCACCCTATCTTACACCTTTCTGCAGTTGGGTAGGTTTTTTACTCTGTTTCTGTACTCAAATAGCCATCAAAGCCCTACTGTGCAAACACTTCAGCACTTCGGTATACAGACAGGCAACTTGGCACCGCTAAAGGGACTGCAGCACCGCCCAAATTTCGACGGAATCAAAGGCTTCCTCATAGTCCATATATACAAGGCAAAGTGGCAAATCGTACTATCCGGTCTTCTGTACAATTTGCCGAAGGGTATATATGTGGTCTATGGTACTAAAGCCTTTTCGGAAACCAGCTTGTTCGGTAGGCTGGAAATCGTCTGTCTATTCTGCGTGCGAGATTATTCGTAATGACTCTCGAAAACAGCACGTAGACGCGGCTAAGAAGGGAAGTCGGTCTATAGTTATCCAAGAGAGTGTTGTTGCCTTTCTTGAAGAACAAGAACACTGTACTTCTGTCCCACGCCCCCGTGAAGTGCCACCATGAAGGATGGAATTACAGAGCTTCTGAAGGACTTCAGGTATCGATTTTCCACCCGTTTTCAGAAGCTCCGCTGTAATCACATCCTCGCCCAGGGCCGTGTCGTTTTTAAGGTGATGGAGAGCCATTCTAATCTCGCTCAGAATGACGTTCGGAATACCATCGGAATAGTGTCGGATAAAACTTGCTCTTCGATCGTTACTCACATGTGTGACTCCAACGATGATGTGTACAGCTACCCAATGAATCTCTCAATCTCACACAAAATTTCAGGTGTCCCGGAAATGACGCTGCCACACTCGGTCTTCGTGGGTTTTGGAGGAATGCATGGCTCTAGATATATCCTCATACATTTCTTCCACCTCCTGATCGGGATGTGCCGAGGTTGGTGAGTAAACCTGTATGACTTTCAGCGAATACCGTTTGGTGAATCTGAGTATAACGTACGCAACCCTCGTCGATACAACGTTGTTAACGAGAGAATTGAGGGTGATAAATCCGACTCCTCCTTGGGACAGATGGGCCTCCTTCCGGTGATACACAAGTTGCCAGATTCGAGGATTACCTATAATATTCCATAATCCTATAACGCAACTTGTCTATCTCTTCTTCCAGCTCCAGGATCTTCTCGTCAGTCCTCAGGGTGGGTTTGTTATATGTTGCCTGGTTGAGTCGTCTTAGGTGGCTATCGAACCTCCATCGGAGATTCTTAGCACCCACTGTCCTGCCGTTGCCATGGGTGACCATGTGTGTCCGGTGGTGACACCGCAGCCAGGAATAACGGGGCCGCCGGACACTGTATATATATATACAGTGTCCGGTTTAATTTTCTGTGGATATATATATATATATATATATATATATATATATATATATATATATCCACAGAAAATTAAACAAAAAACAAATATTAATATAAAGAGGAAATATATATAATTTATTATTATGACGGGAAATTCCAATAATACTCCTTCAGTTGTTTTATAAAACTCCGTAAAGATTGCGCTTGCTAGATGTTAAGTGGTAATGTATTCCACAGTCGGGTTGCTTGTGAAGTAAATGACTTATTTTAAAAAGAATTTAGGCTGCAAGGAGTATTCAAAGCCAAGCTATACACGGAACGCGACCTACGATCATGAAATTCATGTCGATAGTGAAATTGTTCCTTAAGTTACCTTCGATATTTCGGATCAAACAGAACACAAAAAAGTAAAGAAAGTAAATGATCATTCCGGCGAAGGTGAATTGGGAGCCACTTGGGTTGATTTAGAAATTGGGGATCATGGTCATATTTGCGTAAACCAAATATGAACCGAATGGAAAGATTTTGAAGACGCTCAAGCTTGTTTAATTGCTCCATGGTAATATCAGTGTAGCATATATCTGCATAGTCTAAAGTAGGCGACAAAATGGAATGTGCTTACGCAATTTTGGTAGAAATGGGCAAGAAATTTCGGAGTCTTTTGAGACTTCCACAAGCTGCAAACATTTTCTTACTTATCTGTTCAATTTGTGGTGACATTGTACTCTCAATTAGAACCCCTAGATTTTTTACAACCTTACTGTAAGGAATAGCAGAATTCTCAAAACAAACGAAAGGCAGGCAATTTTTTGTAGTAGTTTGTTGCTACCTATCACTATAACCTGCGTTTTACTAGGGTTAACCTTAATTCCATAAGATGTGCAAAATTCTGAAATAATAGCTAGATCACGATTTGTGGATAGGACGGCAGATGGAAGATTATTGATACTTGTTTGAGAATATATTTGGAGAGCGTCTGCATAAAGATGGCAGAGAGAAGTTGTTCCTGAAGTGATAGAGCGTATAGAAAATTGAAAAGAGGAGAGGAGAGGAGAGGAGACAACACGCCACTTTGTGGGACGCCTGCATCCAGAGAACACCACGTGGAATAAGTGTCTTCAATATGGATGCAATGACGGCGTCCAAACAAGTAACTACGAAACCAGTCGGTTGCCGCTGGAGATACGTTAATAGAACGGAGCACAGCTAGAAGTATATCGAAATCGACTGTGTTGAAGGCGTTGCTGAAATAAAGAAGAGTAAGAATAGTAACTTTCCGATTCTCCATTCCTGTCCGAATGTCACTGTGATTTTAACCAAAGAAGTGACCGTGCTATGGCCAGGACGAAAGCCTGATTGGAATGTATTTAAGAGGTTATTTTGATTCAGAAATAGATTAAGTTGCTGTTGGACAAGACGCTCAAGAATTTTAGCAAGAAAAGGTAATATGGAAGTAGGACGGTAATCACAGAAGAACTTGAGACTTGATTTCTTGGTTAGTGGAATAATTTGAGCATCTTTATATAGTGTCGGAAAAGTTCCTGTATTTATAGAATTGTTGAAAATTTTAGTTATGATGGGAGTTAAGAGATCTAATAGCGGGAGAATCAGGTTTCGGCTGAAATTATCACTACCAATTGTATTAGAAGTTACAGCTAAGATATTCTTTTTAACGTCACAATCAGCAAACTGATATAAAACATATATCCAATCATACTCATTTCATCCATAAATAGAAATTCACAATTGGCCATTTCTTCTCGAAACTGAGCGAGTGAATACAAACTGAGATCCTTATAAATCTTATGAGCTCTTAATAGAAGTTCGGCATATATAGTTGTACCATTTATATTAAGTCATGGGTAATAATAAGTAAGTCATGGGATACTCATCCCAATTTACCTGTCCGGTAGTTGTGGTATAGTATACGGGTATGCGACCCCGGCATTTCCTATTTCCCATCCTAACTTACGAATTTTCCTTTTCAGACCACCTATCCCTTTCCCTATCCCTACCCTCTCCGCCAATCAAACGTCTGGCGCGCGGATGGATGCATAGCTAGGGGCAAGCCTAGTCGTTAGCGTGCCACACTGCCCTGGGAACGGGCGACCCCAGAATTAGGCCAGCCTTACCCTGGCATGTGGGGCTCTGCTGGGGGGCACAAACCTTTCCCTCGCTATTCGTGGGAACGCAATGGATAATCATAAAAATAATTTAATTACCTAAAATGGCGGCGATGTGGTTCGCCACCCATCACGTCTCGTTTCTCGCGGGGGCGAAAAGCGGCCCACGGAGAGTCGCTTCGCTACGTTGAATGTAAGCGAAGGAATGGATGGTAAGGTGGATGAACGATGCATAGATATTCTGTGCGTGAACGAAACCAAGAGGAAAGGATGTGAGACCACGGTTCATGGCCCATACACGGCATACTGGTTGGTAGTCCCCCAAACCAGCCGAGGCTGTCAGGGAGTTGGTGTGATTCTTTCATCTCGAATAGTTGAATGTGTGATGGAGATGGATGTGTTAGCCCAAGACTCCTCTGGATTAGGTTAAAAGTCGGACTCACTCGCTTGCTTATCCTTGGGGTCTATGAACCGACGGATCTGCGTGGAGGTGGGTCATTAAAAGACCAAAAAGAGAGAGAGGAATTTTGGGATAGCATGAGAGAGTTCTTGTATAAATGCGGAGAAAATGAACGGATCGTGATGATACGGGACTGTAATGGGTGGGTTGGAGTAAAGCGTGATGGGAATGAAGGAGTTCTGGGTACGTTTGGGGACGAGAGAGTGAATTACAATGGGAGAAGCCTGCTTGAAGTAAGCTTAAAATGGAATCTGTCCGTGGCCAACACAAAGTTTGACCACAAAAAGATCCATTTGTATATAAGAGATGAGGGTGAGTCTAGAAGTATGATTGATTTTGTAATTGTGGATGAAAGACTGAGGAAAGTGCTAGACACTCGGGCATACCGCGATGTATTATGGTCTCGACATAGACCACTTCCTGGTCATAGCCCAAATGCTCTTTAAACGATGGCGACAATGAGGGGCCGAGCCTACGAGTGTTTTGGGCAGAGTAAAAGTAGAAAATCTACAAAAGAAAGAAAAGAAAGACGAGTATGTAGAGAAACTGAAAGAAAGTTTTAAAGGCGTAGAAGAGATAGGTGTGATTGAAGATTTGTGGGAGACATTTAAGAAAGGGGTCGTGAATGTTGCTATTGAGGTATGCGGGGTAGCTAAAAGAAGGAAAGGAAGAAAGAACTATAAAGTGTGTATGAATAAAGATGTACAAAGTGTTGTGCAAGAAAAGAAGAAAGCGTGGTTGGATTGGTTAGCAACAAAAGCTAACCAAAAAGTTCAAAAGGGTTCATTCATTCAAAAGTTGGTATAATGATATATGGTAATAATGATGGCGACATTTACTCTTAATAATTTATATTGAGTAACGATTCGATTAATTGGTATTTTTTCCTTCATTTCCTTGTAAATAACTAAGTTGTTTTTTGAATATATTTATTCATTAGGAAATGTAATATTTGAAAAGTTATCTTCAATATTCAAATTATTTTGACTGACTGATATTTTCTGCAGCTTTTTTAGTATCAATAAAATGTTATAATACATTTAGGTATTTTTTTATCTGAAATAAAATGTCAATTATGCCTTATGTCCATTTCTCTTCTACCTGTATCGTCTTCTTGCTGAATATTATTTGTTCCAGCGAGTATTTCCATCCAATTATATGATTGTTCTATGTCTACTTCCTCTATTAATTCAATACCGTTGACATCTTCCAAATTATGTAGCATGTGATCTAAGTTATAATTTACATTATCGTTTATGTCAAAACGTTTTTCATATACAGATTTCTGAGTAATGTTTTTTTAGATTAAAATGTTACTTTGTTGACGCCAGTGAATATAATATAATAAAACTTGTTACTGATAGAATTATAATTTTTTTTAACACTAGGGTCATAATTAAATTTTAGTATGACTAAGAATGAAAGTTTATTAACAGAATAATTTGACTCTCTTTGAAAAATTTTTGTAAACAAATAATGTAAGCACATGTTTTCAAATTTTAGTGGCATTTGTTGATATTTTTGTAAAGAACTTGAAACAGAAGTATTTCCTTTTTCTTTATTTATACACATATGCTTCCATTCACTGTTTGATAAATTAACTAATATAAACTGTCGAGACGATCGAAACAAACGCCAACTCATTAAAATCCAAAATATTTCTTGTGCAGAATAATCCCCTTCAGTGCACACTTCTATGAAAAGTTTTTGAATTATATATTGAACATCATTATTATCTTCAGATGCTTGCACTGTTTGTTTAATGAAATCTTTCATACCGTCCGATTTAACTTCAGGTTTGCTCGCATACTTGGCAATATACTGAAGAACAGCAATTGATTTTGTATCTATCTATTGATTTTGAATTCCTATGTTGTTTTTTTACTAATGAAATAATTCTGTAATAGCGCCATCTGCACGGTCTGTAACGTACTACATCGACCTGCGAAGCCAACGTAGTTCTAATAAAGTAGCACAATGGCGGAAGGGAGCATTTGAAGTAAATTCTCTTATTTTATTTCATTTGTTTAATTCTCGTAATTCAGTTGAAAAAAAAATCCTTTAACTTCTGGAGATATGTCACTTTAGAACCGCTGGAGATAATAAGTTATATTTATGTTTATTAAGATTTTTCTTAACATTAGGAAAGACTTACAAATGGCAATAATAAATTAAAATACAGTTCACAGATAAATTCAAATTCAAATTCTTTATTTGCTAGTAGTGTGTGTCAGTCAGTGTCAGTGGAGATATCAGGTAAATCATTTATGTATAATATAACCAACAATGGTATATTATACAACCTTGGAAGTATACTATCTTGGGGAACACCAAAATTGTTGTTTTTGAATTCAGATCTATATACCTGAGCTATGTTCTTAGAATTTAATTGTGTTATTTCTACACACTGTGACCTATTTTTTAAATAGCTTCCTAGCCAACTTAATGCAGGTACCCTTATGCCGTTAGCCTCTACTCGTAGTTTGATAAGTAACTAATCATGTGAGACGCGATTGAAGGCTTTCGACATGTCAAGAAATACTACAGTTGTATAGTTTCTTTGATTTAAATTTTGCAAGACTTCCTTCACTAATGTAAATGCAGCATGTGTTGTGGATTTATTTTTTTGGAAACCATGCTGATTTTGTTTTATCACCTTAAATTTACTAAAAAAGGAAGTAAGTTGGTAATGCATCACCTTTTCAAATACTTTTGAGAGGACTAGGACTAGTGCAATTGGTCGATAGTTGGTTATATCACTTTTATCTCCCTTTTTGTATAAAGGTTTTACTATTAAAAATTTTAATTTATCAGGAAAAGTCCCTGACTCTAGTGAAAGATTTATCAGGAATGCTAATATTTCACTTATTTCATCCTTACACGATTTAATTATTTTAGTACATATGGAATCATAGCCTTCAGATTTTGTGTTGTTTAAAGACATTATTGTTTTTTTGATAATATTCTCATTTATAGGAGTCAGAAAAATTGATTGGGGTAATTTCATGTCAGTTGTATTTTCTATTTTATAATTTATTTGATTTGTTGCGTTAATAAAATAATTATTTATAATAGATGCTATTTCAGCAGGTTCCGTTACCGCCTTTCCATTATTCATTATTTTATTTATGTAGTTTTTAGTATATACACGATTAGTCTCATTTTTTATAATTGTCCAAGTAGCTTTACATATATTTTTACTATTCAATACAAATTTATTGTTTGTTGTTCTTTTTGCAATGTTTATACATTTTTTTAATAGTCTATCGTAATTTATATATTTAATTCGATCAACAATTTTTCTAGTCATATAAAACTTGTATCGAAGTTTACGTTTAGTTCTACAACTTTTTTTTAAGCCTTTGGATATCCATGTTAGTTTAGTAAATGTTTTGGTTTTTATTTTTATTTTAGGAAAACATAGTTTATAGAATAATGTGAAGAGGATAAAAAATTCTTCAAACGCTGTATTTAAATCAGTCTGAGTATAAACTTTACAAAATGAAATGCATTTTAAATATTTTTTAAATCTGTCTATATTTTCTTCAGACTAGTGTCCAATATATGTATATATAGATTTTGGTGTGATGTTCTTGTTACTTTTCGCAGTAAAATTTAATACCTATGCAGTATCGTGATCTGACAGCCATAATGAATGCACAGATCCAATTGCTTCATCAATGTTACTTATAATAAGATCAAGACAGGATTTGCCTCTAGTTGGTTGTTTTATATCAAAGTGAAGGTTATATTTCTTCACAATATCCTTAAGACATGTGGTGTGATAGAACCATTTTTGATAACAACACTTCACAATACTGTAATCCCCAAGCATACAGTATAGTATAGCAAATATTATGGCTGAGAACTCCAGCATTTTACAAGTACATATTTTACAGAGCACGATTTACGAACCATTACAAAGTTGTACTTTTACCTTGTATATATTTATATGTACATATATAACTATTAATGCGTGGGTCATCTTTGGGTGACTTTTTAAATATAACCCAACTCTATGTGATTTAATGGGCACATTTTTGAACATCTATAAATTACACAAATAATAAACTGACCAACAATCCATTATTTAGTACTTAATGAAGCCTACAAATGGAGTCACTACATATGTGGATATTCTATATATAATGATTGATTACACATCTAGACATAAATATGAATAATTATGTTCAAGTTCAGGTACAAATGATTTGTTTTTTTTAAAAAAAAAGTGTACCACAAAAAGTGGCATTTTGTTCTAGTAAAGGCTCGCTTTGCTTCGTTTGCGGAAATCGATTATATTATTAAAACTGTTAAAAGTTAATTAGGTGAGATCCGAGAAATAGCCATCGCAGATCTATAATTCCTGATGGTGCCTCATCACACGTGTTCTATTATCGACGGTGGTGTGTATTTACTGGTATAGTGGTGTTGGGATAAGTGGTCACGGGGACAGTTGCACAATTGAGGAAGGGCTCAGCTAAATTATTTTTAACATCAATAAGAGTTACAACTTACAAGACCTATATTTATAAAAAAAAGTAACAAATATTCATTAAAATCATAAGGACTAAATATTTTTTTTTCCTTAATAAGGTCAACAAATAAGCACACAGCCTACCTGATGGTAAATGTATGCTGTGGCCCATAAACATCTACATTTATCTTCGATTAAGAATAAAAATGCAGATGCGTTGTCAACCCTGAGGACTAAGATAGAATGCCTCGTTTCTAGTAAAAGGGTCTCCGGTCCTCTCTACTCACCGTAAGTAATACATAAGCATGATACTACTTTACTTTAAAATAAAAGAATTTTAAATAAATAATGAAATTAAAAAATTAAACTTTACTTACATTAGTAGTAAATATATTCAAACTTCCAATTGGATCTGTTTTTCCTGAATTCAAAAATCTGTTTCTGAAGATAGCGGAATCTTTCACAAGTATTCTACGGGCAATATCTGGTGATTGAACAACCAGAGCGGGTCGCCAGAACAACCAAATACCAACATACGGGGAACGGAAGTTTGCATACAAATATCGAAACCACATTGCCTAAAAATAAAAATAAACTTTTTTTATAGTATTAAGGTTGAAAAATTTCACCTGATGGGAAGAGAAAAAAAAACGAGTCTACTCTTTTTAAAAAGGGCGGCAACCTGCAACGCCCCTGAACAATTGCCTGGTTTTGCAATTGTTCATGGGCGGCGGTCGTTACTTATCATCAGGTGATTCTGTATGCAAATTGCCATCTCTTACAATAAAAAAAAGATACCATATCCATAGACATCCATATCAGTTACTAAGAATCAACATGCAGATGCGTTGTTGCAGATTGTTGTAGTGATGGAATGCTTCGTTACCTGAAAAAAGGATGTCCAGTTCTCTACACTCACCAAGAAACACAGCAGCATTAGGTTGCCATTTTATTATGGCCCGGTCAAACAGACTCATTAGTGCTGCAACAAAAATACAGCTGCAACGTGGCTCTACCACGTTATAAAGTACAAGCAAGCCTAATTAAAAATACTTTTACATTAGACTCATACATTAGATAGATACAGAGTTACTTTGTTTTCAATTTTTAGATTTAAATACAGCAACAGGAGAATTGAATGATGTGCCAGCGTCTATCTTTCTACCGTTTATACAGGATACAGGAAAAAAATGGCAATAATTATTTTTAAGCTTTTCCTTACATTATTAAAACTAAACTTGTGACTCTTTAATTCATACGTAGTTTGTATCCTGAGTATAATATACACACTGCGTTGGAACTGGAAGGAAATTAAAATGATGCCAATGATTTTAATTTCACCTGCGTAACGTACGCGTACTTTATAATAAAAATTAAAATTAATATGCCTGTAAAATTATTAATTATTTTGAATATGTCGTTCAGCATCCAAAGTTGAAAATCATCGACTTAGCTACATCACCCCTTAATATCAGTTGTAGTCAAACACTGGCTTAGAATAATGAAAAAAAATTAAAGAAATTACACTTTATGTTATATTTGTACATTTTATACCACGTTTTTATTTTATTTTTAAACAATCTTACCGATGAGCTAAAGACTTGATGTTCAAATATAGCTTAGAATCGGAAGACAATTTTCATTCTTTCGAATACGAAAAAATAATAATATTTAAAAACATTAGCGATTGACTTGTTATTTTTACTGCATATGCAATTTCATGTCTTAAAAAAATTTACTTTCAAGGGCTTTTTTATTTATAAAATATTAATATATTTTAATTCACATTCGCTAAATTCCACATTCGCAATTTTAAATGCCAAGGTGCAAAATTATAAGAAATTTAATAAATAACTAGAAAAGATACCAACAGGGTTTTGTTTCTGCAGAAACGTCATACTTCCCATCAGCGGATGTGGCGGTAAATACGGTACACCTCTGTTGTACCAATAGCTTTTCACTTGATACCAACGTGCAATAGGCCAGCATATTATTAGCAACAATACGGTAGTAGCAAGCATTAAAGACAACATCTGTAAACAAAATACATATAATTAGCATTATATATAATATAACATTACAACATTACGCCTGTTACCCAGAAGGGTAAGCAGAGTCTACGAACTTCCATTTGGCACATTCCTGACACATCTTTATTTTTAACCTGATGGTACGTGGATACTGTGGCCCATAGACATCGACATCTATCTACCGTATAACCATAAGACAACTGTTCATATTACACCTAACATTGCGCAAGCATAAAGAATTAACCTATGCCCCTAAGATTATTGATAACCAGCGGAGAAACAATAGAATACGCAGTAATACAAAACACAATACAGCCTTCAAAAGACAACCTCGCTGCTCTCGCTCCTTATATAAACAAAAATTATGTTGTCCTTATATAAATTCATAAGAAAACATAATATATCCAAAAACTTTGTAACTTAGTTTTCTATAAAAAATAACTGTATGAAAAATATGAAAAAAACACACACACACTCACACACACACGCACACACACGTACGCACACACTACCACACGTACACATACGCACGCACGCACGCACGCACGCACGCATGCACGCATGCACTCACGCACGCACGGTTTTACTAAACTAAAGTTATTTCTATACGTTTGTGTACTGAGTGTGATAACGCACTAAACGGGAACCACACGGTTTTTGTTACATCTTTTGTCTACATGCTGTACGCTTCGATCTTTAAAACTACGTAACAAATTTTGATCATTAGACAAACGTCACACGTCCATACTAAAACACACAGAAACCCCCCCCCCCCCCCACACATACGCACGCACGCACGTACGTACACGCACACAGTGCCCTTCTACTTTTACTTTATTCCGCTAATTCCAACAAACTCGGAAGTAGTTAGCGAGCGAGCGACCTAGAATCCTAAATACAGGAATACTCTAGTTTAGGCTTCAGTCCGCCACAAAAACATCACAACGTTCCATATTTCTGTTAAGTTTGTTAGTAGATCTATCTATGCATTTGCAGCGGAGAAATAAATATAATTTTCATTTCATTGCATTCATGCAGTGTGCATTTCATTCGATGCACTTTAACGATGTTGTGTATTTTGGAGTTCACTCCTTGAGATTCGTTTCGTATATAGCGCACAGTATGAAAAATAGATAGGTAGTAGAATCTCTCATAGCACGAAATGAGTAACGTAGTAATATAAGATTTATGTAATATCGTTTACATAACACACACACACACACACACATACACACACACACACTCGCACATACGCACACACGCACACACGCACACGCACACACGCACAACACAACACAAACACTCACGCCTGTCACCCAGAGGGGTAGGCAGAGACTACGGACTTCCATTTGGCGCGATCCTGACACACCTCTCTCGCCTCCTTTACATCCTACATTTCACATTACTTTACATACTCGTACATACGCATACACGCTCGTCGGTTAAGGGTACTCTTAATCTGGCCCATTTCAATGTATCGCCGATTTGGTCGATAAACCTTCGTCAAGGGCGTCCCTTCCCGACCCTGCCGTTCACTTCTGCTACATAAATTTGCTTTGTCACTCTTTACTCGTTCATTCTTTCTACATGACCAAACTACCGAAGCATTCCTTTCTTAAACCTGGTCACAACGTCATCTTGCAAACCACACTTTTCTCTTATCACACTATTTCTCAACCTGTCATTCAGATTCAGCCGTAGCATACTCCTTAATGACCGCATTTCTACAGCATTTATTCTACTCTCATGCTTCTTCTGCCAGACCCAATTTTCACTACCATAAAGTAGGGACTAACACAGCATTATAAATTGCCAAACGTGCCTTATTTGACATATTCTGACTCCTCATAATAGCGTGTAGAGCCCCATTCACTCTATTTCCTGCGATCACTCGTCGTTCTATATCCTTATTATATCTACCATCCCTGCTAAATAAACATCCCAAATATACAAACTCATCCACTTGCTCAATATTTTAACAAATCAGTATTTATAAAAAAATATAAAGGTATTCCTTTACTTCCTTTGCCTATTGTATATATTTTTAGACAATCGTTTTTCTTGAGTCTCCAGCCTCCAGTCTGAGAACTCTAGTCACGAGTTGGAGCCGATACGCACAATTTTTTTAATAGAATAAGTGTGACAAGCAAGCACACAGTCCACCTGATGGTGAGTGGATGCTATGGCCTATAGACAGCTACATGTATCCTCCATTAAGAATCAAAATGAAGAATAGAATAGAAAATAATGATTTTTATTCAATATAGATTATTACATAATACTTATGAAAGTCATTTTTTTACTGCTGATTTGGAAAATAAGCTGAGCTAGCGCTAATTTACGCTGGTAAAGCTGCTATAATTATACGCTGGTATTATGTGAGAGCGTAGTCTTATCCCGGTCGAGCCGACCCATTCATATAGCATGGTATAACTAACCATAATATAACTTAAAAAATAAATAAGGGGTTGTGGTGAATTAAAATAAATCAAAGCCAGAGGCCACTTACCTTGAGTGGAGGGTTGTATGCTCGCTTAACACTTTCATTAAAATAAAGATTACGTATATCATGGATGCACTACAGTCTTAAATAAACTGTTACGAACAATTGAACAAAAAAAAGCTATAAATTATTTCATCACACCCATTGTTAATTATTTATTTATTACGGGTTTCATTTGCGTGAATATTGTTCTTAAACCTACAATGCATAAAATAACTGTTGAAAATAGTACAATTATAATTTACTCTCAGGGTAACATCATTTAACCACCACAAACAACACTAACGATCCGCCCCGGCTTCGCTCGGTTGATTTCTGGCTCTCGATAACAACGCCACCTACCGTGTCCAATTGTGAATGTAAACCATTCTCTAATCTACTTAATCACACACGAAATTTCATCAAAATCTGTCCAGCCGTTTAGGAGGAGTTCAGTCACATACAAACGGACAGAAAAATTATATAATATATAATATGCATAATCTGTTATGTAGTTTAAAAGATCGAAATATACAGACCGCGGGAAGCAACTTTCTTTTATACTATGTAGAGAAGAGACATAACAAAAACCCTGTGGTTTCTGTTTAGTGCGTTATCAGACTCAGTACACAAACGTATAGAAATAAGTTTACTTCAGAAAAATCCTTAGGTTGCCTTAGATTTTCCTGCTTAGGATTCCATTTAAGTAGGTACCTATCTATTTCTGTCACCAAACTGCACGTGCACTGCTGTATTCCTGTGTGAAGGATATAGAGAGCCAGTATTATATAATTACAGGGGGCGACTCAGTCCGTCTTGGTCCTTAGAGGTGAAGCTTTTTTGATTTGTTGTTGGATACAGGGGTCGTTGGGCTGCAGAGGCTAGCCATTAACCATAAGATGGACGGTAAGTATGTATGATATGCAGTCCGAAAGAGATGTTACGGTAGAGCGTGTGAATTTCACAATAACAGGCAGTCTCGGAAATTCAGACTTTGCAGAAATTCAACGCCTCCAAAACACAAGCGTGTCTCTTCACTGCAAAAAGGCGCCAAATTACCTTGGCTCCTTCTTTACGAAATGTATCACTGGAATACACCGACGCTTCGGTTGTTGGGGGTTGAGATATCCTCAAATTTAAACTTCGGGCGGTTCATTGAGTCCAAGACCAAAAGAGCTGCAACGAAGCTAGGAGTCCTTGTTGCGGCGATACTTCACACCGGAACAGCTGCTTACTTTACATAAAGCGCAAGTCCGGTCGAGCATGGAGTATTGCTGCCGTATATGGGCTGGTGCTGAAAAATGCCACTAAGCAGCTTTAGACTCAATGGAAAGGCGTGCTAAGAGGCTTATTGGTGAACCGAATTTGGTTAAAACCAATCTTACCAGCTTCGAACACAGCTAAGACTAGTAGGGCACGCGAGAGCGCGCGCGCGCGCGCGCGCGCGCGCGTGTGTGTGTGTATATGTGTGAGTGCGCGCGTGCGTGTGTGCGGGTGTGTGTGTGTGTGTGTGTGTGTGTGTGTGTGTGTGTGTGTATGAGATTTTTTTATATAGTTATTTTTTATAGAAAACTTAGTTACAAAGTTTTTGGATATATTATGTTTTCTTATGAATTCATATAAGGACAACATAATTTTTGTTTATATAAGGAGCGAGAGCAGCGAGGTTGTCTTTTGAAGAAGGCTGTATTTAATTTTGTATTACTGCATATTCTATTGTTTCTCCGCTAGTTATCAATTATCTTAGGGTCATAAGTTAATTCTTTATGTTTGCGCAATGTTAGGTGTAATATGAATAGTTGTCTTACGGTCATACGTTAGATAGATGTCGATGTCTATGGGCCACAGCATCCACTTATACTCAGGTGGACTGTGTGTTCGTTTTTAACCCTTATTCTATAAAAAATATGTCAGGAATGTGCCAAATAGAAGTTCGTAGTCTCTGCTTACCCCTCTGGGTAACAGGGGTAATGAAGTTATAGTGTTATATTTTTGATAACTTTTAGGTAGTAAGCATTATAAATTGAATGTTTATGTTTTGTAGTAGTCAGCCTTTCGGTTTTCTACAGGTTGCATTTCGCAGAGTGTGCACAGGAATTGCATAGTTTAATTCCTCCCTCTCCCTTTCACCATCTTAGGCTACATTATCTCTTACCATCAGTTGGGATTGTAGTTAAGCGTTGGCTTATCATAATATAAAAAAAGGCATCGGTAAGGAAGCGGTAAGATCATTGTTGTTTACCTTGTGTGAACCGGAGAAATTATGAACGCACTCGAAAGGAGGTTCGGTAGAGTTGCGATGCTCATTCTATCTGAAATTAAGAATGTAAAACGTATGCCAAAGCTGGTGGAAGATGGCAGAAATATCGGCACTTTTGCTAGTCGCATCGTGTCGCCTTAGTCGCATTTCGCTAAAGCATCGATTCATGCGTTAAAACAACCACAGTACTTAACTCACCCGAGTTAGTGAGCCGTATAGATATGAGATCGGTATTGTAATTAAATTCAAATGGTTGGAATA